GTAAATTGACTTTGCAATTGCTTGAGAAAGGGTGGTTTAATCTCTTTAGTTTTATTTTGAAATACTGTCTATAAAGAGATATATGCTATTTTGCTATGAATGTCTTGATAATTGGTTTAACCAACTATTATTGGATGCCATATTGCATTATCATAACTAATTTACTCTATGAGTTTGGAATTTAAAAATTAGATCGTAGAAATTTACCCACTGATTGGAACTTTTATCTGTAATACATAAGATGCTCTTTACTAAGCAAAACGGCATTATGAAAAAAAAAAAAAAAAAACGAAGAAGAAGAAGAAGAAGAAGACAAAGAAGAGTATGAATGGTGTTGCAGGACATCCCAAATGGGAATTGTTGCCCAGTTTTATTTTTCATTTCAGTGGTTCTAGCTGCCCTGGTTGGTAGCTGAGGCAATATGGGAAAAAAAGGCTTTACAAGGCCGTAACATTGGGTTAAATGGGTTTATCGTTTGGTGGCTATGAAAAAAGATAGACATATAATAGCATTGCTTGTGCGCTCTTAAAAGAAGTAAAGCTGGTTACTGCAGCTTGGATGGGCATTTCTTGGAAGAGATGAATAATATTTCGTTCGCCTTGAATATGTTTAGAGTTTTATTCAGCAATTGATTTGTGTCTTATTTATAAGTGAAATTACTAATGCAATTGTACTGATAGTGTAATGTGATGTTAAGAGTCTACTTTGGATTTTTTTTTTTTTTTTACGCCTTAGAAGTCACATATTTTACTTGGGATTAAGATCGAGACGGTATACAACATCAGAAAAAAGAAAAAAAGAAAAAACGAGGCAGTTTTAGCATCATGTAAAATATTTGGCAGTGTATGATGGTGATTATGGATTTTAAATTTGCTTCTTACAGGTGATTGAATTGTGTGTTTTAGTTTGGATTGCTTCATGATACCAACTACCTTACTACCGAGACAAATATTTTCCAAATAAAAATTTAGTTAAATTGATATTTATTAATTTAAAATTTTTTAATTTAAAGTTAATGTTAAACATTTAAATTTTTATGTTATTAAATAATTAATTTTTTAATATATTAAAAAATCAAGATCTTTGCACTTGGTCCTTTGGACCAAGCGCCTTAGGGCTGCCTTGCAGTGCATTTCCCCTCCTCATGGTGGGTTCGATTCCCAGCCTTGTAAACTTGATTAAAAAAAAAAAATCAAGATCTTTTATATTATTAAAGCTGTCCTGTTATGAATTGAGGATGACTAATAGCGATGCACCATCAACATTATGCTTGCACGATACGGCAATGGGAAGTACAGCATGGTATTAACTTTATAGCTCGCTGTGATTTTAGCAGTGCTGCGATGCCACAAACAATGTTTGTTGGTAAAGTCTTGTTTCTGTTGGCAAGGATAGTGCATTTGATGGAGCAGCTGAGGAAGTGATTTAGTGGAGTAGAACAATTTGAAGCCGACTTCTTTTAGAGGTTCAAGTTTGTGAAGGCTGATAGCTGCTGTGATGTAGTGAATGGATGTGTTTTTAGTTAGTGTGAATGATTGGATTTCAATGAAATCCCATGTCAATCCAATTTCTGTGTTAGCCCTTCTCCTTATAAATCCCAGTTTAGTATCTTTTGTGGAATTTTGCGTGGTTTGAAATGGGACATGGGAAATTCCCTTTTATTTATTTAG